GCATATCTAATGTGCAAATTAAGTTTATTGCTGCTCATTGAGTTGTTTATTCCTTGTGATAGAAGTCTTTATTATACCTCAAGTGTACTAAATGTCTTCTCTGTTTTTCTGTTTGAAAATGAGGCCTGCTCCGTAATGCATGGTTGCAGTTTGTAAGCAAGACAGCTAGATAATGGGAAAGAGGGAGCTTTTAAGAGACATTTAAAAAGATTTGAGATGGAAACCTAAAGGGAAACCTCCATAAAGAAAACAGCTTGTATTATGCAAAGCCAACATCTCAGCATCACTCATAATGGTTGATGTGATCAGGCTATAGACTGACAGAGCCAGACGATTCTGGCATCAGCCTTCTATAAAAGATGCATTTTTGTTTTGCTAAGAGTGCAAGAATGCACCCTTATACCCCACATAATGCACAGCTGAACTGCTTAACGAAGCAGAACAACAGAACAAAATAAAGCAACAGAGCCAAACTTCAGCGTTTCCCAACTAATCCTGAAGGGTTTTCTTTTCGTTTTACTAGTATAAAAATAGTGTACCTCTGCACTTCAGTTAAAACCCTTTCAAGACTAGCCCTTTGTATGCCAAAAAAACCCTTTAATTTTTTTTAAAAAAATCAGCACACAAAGAGATGTCTTTGAAATTGTTTCTTTGTAGTGTTTGTTTTTATTTTAACCACTGACAACTTGTGTTCTGGGATCCCTGAATCTCATAGTTCCAGATGCACACAACAGGTATCCATAGTTAAAGGATCTTATTTAGTAGGTCTTGAGGAATATCTTTATCCACTGAAGTCAGACAATACTGAGCTGGATGTTCTGATTTGCTATAAATATGTTTCCTGCCTTTTAAACAGTAACCATTACCTGGTGAAAATACCCAGATGCCAGAGACTTGCCCGCTTTACTGCTCTGGCTCTAGCAGGCCAAGCAGATCAGCAGGCTGAGAGACAACACAATGTAGTGGTTAAAGCATCAGGCTAGGATCTAGGTAAACCCAGGTTTGAATCCCCACTCTGCCATGGAAGATCTCTGGGTGATCTTGGGCCAGTTACACACTCTTAGCCTAACCTACCTCACAGGGTTGTTGTGAAGACAAAATAGAGGAGAGGAGAACGATATAAACTGCTTTGGGTCTCTACTGAGGAGAAAGGTGGGATATAAATAAAGTAAATAAAGTTGCAAATGATATTTGTAGTCTTCTGCGGGACTGTCACTGGCATATAAGCCCCATTCTCTCACCCTTCAAGAAGCACTGTGGGATCAGCTGATAGCCTCAGTAGTGGGCACGAATTTTTAGAGTTCTTGGTTGGCAAGAAACCTAACCCAATTGTGTCCACCAGTTTTGGCTACTTGTGTTGGGGATCAGACTTGGCATTGGTTAGGTCACAGATAAGACCCAAATTACATGAGATATTCCCTAGATGACTTTTGCTTTCCCAAACCCAACATGTTTTCCCTTCAGGAATATCATTTTAAAGATCAGAGGGAGTCTTTTTTTGGCTTGAACTGCTGATTGGGGGGAGGGGCTCTTCCCTTCCTCCCATGCCATTTTCAGAGGCTGAAATACCCCCTTCCCAAGTTATTTGCATAACCTCAAGTTATGTAGATAACTCCTTGGGTGGCATTTCAGTCTCTGAGAAGTAGAGACGGAGCCCACCCTCAAGCTGAAAAAGACTCTGATCTTTAAAATTATATTCCTGCAGCTGATGTATGGCTTTGGGGAAAACAAGTTGGATATGGGAATATCCAGAGTCATCCTGTGAACAAATATATTGTGTATTTTGGCCCTAAGTGGTGGCAAAATCATTGTGTATTAGGTACTTCAACTTCATTAAGACTGACAAGCACCGTGAGCCATCTGTGGATAGGGGGGAGCCACATGAGCCAAAGAGTATGGGCTAAGTGGCCCAAGGCCCTGGGAAATGAGTTCTGTCAGTGTTGTGGCATCATCTTCTGAACCCAGAATAAGAAAATAATGTTGACAAACAGCATATCTCTGCACAGTTTGGTTTGCAGCCCAGGAACAGTGAAGGGCAGCTTCATTACCACTCCAAGTTTGGAGCCAGGGTGATTCTGCCCAAATGTCACCAAACATATTGAGTAGACTCTTAGGTAGCCCATATTATATGAGAGAAAGAGTCAATACAGCTAACTAACAATTTAATAAAACTTATTTTAATTCACATTTTTTTATTTTGAGGAATGGGACCAAAGCATCTTCATATTTTCAGGTTGCCCTAGAAAATTAGTCTATTGCATTTGACTTGGTACTTCAGTCTGACATCTTCCACAATGTAGACTCTGACACAAAGAATTCATTCAGCTTTTCTACAGTTTCTTTTAGTAATCCTTTTCAGATCTTTGGAGTCTAACAGCCCATCTGTCTCTTGGCTGGTTTCTGCTGTGGATGTATTTAGACAATTTTTTACTATCTTAGCCATATGCTTGTCATGTTCCTCTTTCACTTGCCTTATTGCCAACTTACATTTGTTTGCCAGAATTTGTACTTCTGCAAAGAAAAAGAAGAAGAAAAAGAATATGAAAATATAGAGGCCATAATCCGTAGAAGAGTGTGACTTGTCCATGACATTGCATCTATTATATTTTTTATCCCGTCCTTCCTTCCAGGAGCTCAGGACAGTGTTGCTCTTCCTTCTCCTATTTTGTGCTCTCAACAGCAATGTGAAGTCAGGCTAAGAAGCAGCAGGTGGCCTAAGCTTACCCACTGGGTTTCATAGCAGATAGGACTGGGTCTCAGATCTCCCTATTGTATTCCAGCAATCTGCAGTGTACTGCATCGGCTCTCCTAGAGGAACCTATTTGATTTTCTCCAAACAGCTACTCTTCCCTACTGCTCTTACTGTAAACAAGGTGTTTTTTTTAATAAACTGAAGAATAATTTCAAAGATAAGACCAATTCAAACTTAGAGGTTCATCTCTTCTCAGAGGACTGTATCTTATCTGTTGTCCTACTGTCAATTGTTTTGAAGTTTAACCATGCATAAATTTGTTCAACATGAAATAAAACATATTAAATGCTATCTCCTTGGTTTAGCATATTTTTCATGGGGAATGCAGTTTTCATGTAGAAACTCTTTCTTAAAACACCTCTCTCAATAAAATCAAAGATGTACAGACCTCATGGGGGAACTTTGCCATCCTAATCAAGTTTATTTGAATCATAACACCAATTGCAATACACATATAGTGTTTCTTTTGCCAAGAATCTGGTTAACGTTTTCTGTAAACCTTGATTGATAATAAATCACAAGTATAAGAAGTAGGGATGGGCACAAACTGGGAAAATGTGGTTTAATTTGAACTGAACTGAACCCTTTAAAAATGGTTTGTGGAAACCTGGGAAAACAGCTGAGTGGCTGCTCAGCTGTTTTGGACTGTCTTTTGCAGTCCCTTTAAAGGGACTGCACAAGATAGCCCAAAACAGCTGTGCAACAGGGAGCACCTACCCACAACTTAGCTGTTTTTGCGATTTTCACGGCAAACAGAAAGCAGGGGTTTAAAGAGAGTCCCTTTAAACCCCTGCTTTCTGTACCATCCATGAACTGCTATGAACTCTTTTTAAAGTTTGTGGAAGTTCCTGATGGTAGACCCATCACAAACATCTGTTTGCAAACCATGAACAGGACAAAATTCATGATGAATTTTGCTTTCTGGTTTGGTTTGTGCCCATCCCTAATAAGAAGACAGTAACAAAAGTAACATAGAAAAGTACATAGAAACTAATAAAGATAGGTGCATGTTCCCTGTTGAATTTGTTTTTATATTTGTTTATACTTTTGTCAACAGGTTGTTGGGGCTTTTTTGTTTTGGGGTTTTCCTTGCTGTCAGTTTTGTAGATCCATTTTGTTGATACACATGTGGTTATTATAAACAATTTATATGAGGTTTATATTGAAACATAATTATATTGAAAAAGCAAAGAATAGACTTTATGGGGAAAATTTGGTACACAGGAACAGAGAAAGGAATGAAAAAATAAAGAATAACAGGCTCCACTAGAACAAGAGAAAAGAGAAACCCAAACCAGGAGCTTTCAAGTTAAAACAAGAGAGGTGAAAAATTTGAAATCATCCCTACTGGGAAGTGACATGCTTTAAGGACTGTTCCTACCTCTGAGAAACTACAGCATCTGGCATTATTAGCCTTTTTTAGGTGCCGCGGCAGCACATCCAGTAGTGTGCACTGCAGTCAAGAAAAGCATCCTGTGCTGGGTAATGGGATTAGCCCATTTCCCTTAGGAAATCCCACAAAGGCTGATTATAAGTCAAGTAAAAGACAGTTGGGAAAATCAGGGTTCAAGGCAGCACAAAAAAATAGACAAACAAAAACAGTGGTTCCAAGTGGCCCTTTGTATTCTGCTCATGCTTCTCTGCATCTGAGCTACAGCCAAGCAAAATAAGATCAAAGAGGTGCTGATGTTCATGTTCTCCAGTGCTATGATTAAGATCATGGCCAGGGCCAGCAGAAGGATACAATCCAGGCTGGCATGATGGCAATGGATGTTTGTGTCTGACCCAAAGTGGCACTGGTTCAGCGAAGTAGTTTGTAGGATCAGGATGTCCGAATGGTAGGACTGGAGAGAATGTTTTGAAGCTGTCTAGTCTCCCTGTTTCCCAAACAAGATGATGTATTTGTGTCAGTCTGTCTAGTTGCTGACAACTTTTTCAGAGTTTATGCTCGTGGTAACATTTGATTTGCCTCCTTATTTGAGGAAGAGAAGTATCGGAACATTCAAAAAAATCTCCCCTTCACACACACACACCCTGGTTCCTCCCAAGTTCCACTCACACTCATACCATAGAAGTGTTAAAAGAGGGTGAGTGAGTTGTGGGGAAATTTTGCTTTCTTTCCTCAGGCTCTGAATTCTTGTGCAAAGAAGAAATATTCTCACAAAAGCCAAAATGGAGTTGGGAGAAAATTATATTTAACAGAATATAACGTACAAAAAAAGAAGTCACTTTTTTCCTTCTTCAACAGAGAAAACTGTCCTTATTACACCACCTTCCAAAATGGATGTTACAGTTGGAGAAAGCATAGTCTTACCTTGTCAGGTATCCAAAGATCCATCCATTGATGTTGCATTTTCATGGTCATTCAACGGAGATGTTATAGATTTTAAAAGAAGAATGACCCATTTTGAAAGAGTTGGAGGAGTAAGTTTTGTAAACTCTATTCTGTAGTCATTTTCTTACTTTAAAAATAATTCTGAAATCATATGAGAAATATTAAACTGCATCTGTTTCTATTGGGCATTAGAAAATCAGTTTAAAGCCACATGAATTGACTTTGTTTTAAGTGTTCATAGGCTTTTTTTCTGATGTTAACTTTAAGACTACCATACAACAGTTTAAATTGAAGTGTTTTATGTCAAATTCTGTGTGCATGATTCATTTCAGCCTTCTTCAGTTGACATTAAAGGTAAAAGTTTCTCTTGCTCGAAAGCCAGTCAAATCCGACTCTAGGGGGCAGTGCTCATCTCCCTTTCCAAGCTAATGAGCTAGCACTGTCTGAAGACATTTCTGTGGTCATGTGGCTGGCATGACTAAATGCCAAGGTGCACAGAGCACTGTTACCTTCCCACCAAAGTGGTACCTGTTTATCTACTTGCAAATTCTTGCTTTCGAACTACTAGGCTGGCAGGAGTTGGGGGGGGGGATGGGAGCACTAGGGTCTCGAACTGCTGAACTACAGACCTTCCAGTCTGCAACTCAGCATCTTAATCTCTGAGCCACTGTGGCCCCTGGCATTATGTACATTAATTTCATCGCATTTAGATGGGAAGCAGGCATGAGTGCCCTGCCTACCAGCCTACATGCAATTGACATGCCATGAGAATGCCAAGGTACTTGTGCATAGGCTCCACCCCCATGATTGGGAATGTATGAAAAAGCAGTGATTAACATGCATAATGTTTGAAGACAGCTTCCCTCTGATGGCTTTGAATACCTAGTGTTTGATCTAAATATTGCAAGCTAAATTTTACGGACCTGTGCTGTTTAGACATCCCTAGATGCCACTTTGCTTATTTTACTGTTGTTTCTAATACTGATAATTTTATGCTTGTTTTATGACTTTATTTTTATATTGTTTTTACCTTGAGAGCTGCCTGCAACATATTCCTGGAGAAATGGCATATACATAGTATGAATAAATACCTTTCCTTATGGCTAGGGGATGCTAGATTTAAGCTTGGAGCATGAGGGGGGTGGTCTTGTCTCGGCAGTAGAGCATCTGCTTTGTAACTGGAAGCACTCAGGTTCAATCCCTGGCATCTCCATTTTAAAGGATCAGACAGTAAGTGATGTGATAGCTCTCTATCTGAAACCCTGGAGAGCCATTGCCAGTCAGAGCAGACAATACTGACCTTGGTAGGCCAATGGTCAGACTTGATATGGCAGCTTCCAGTCTGTTCCCCATCAACAACAGCATCAACAGCAAAGCCCAGCAGCTGGCTTTATGTCCATGGGGAACAGCCTGGAAATCAGGAAGCTTCCAGAGTGGAGAATACTCCCTCCCCACATGCATGCATATACACACACACAGTAGTAGAAGTTACAGTCCTCATATGGTGATCAGCCTTACTTGTGTCTGATGCAAATAAGACAGTGATATTCATCTTCCTTGCAATGGAAGGCTACCGTTGAAGAGAAGCCCAAGTTATATTCCTGATCTAGATCCTGCCCAGTTAGGAATGTAGCACATTGTCCTGGGCATACTTGGTAAAGTACTTCCATTAATTTAGTAAGATAGGCATGGCCCTTCTACACTCTCTAACAACAGTACAGGCATGCAAAGCAACAGACATGCAACCCACATTCAGAAACTCTGTATAGATCTTCAGTTCCAGGCTGATTTGCAGTAACAACACATTATATGGAACTATGCAACAGAACATGATATACCACTGAATATGGACCAGCCTGCCTTTCTGCCCACAGACAGGAATTTGAGTCCACACCCTCCCATTGTCTGTTTCCAGCCTCTTCCTAGCCAGAAGCTTTGTTCCTGAATATAGGCTAAACCACTTGTTTTTTGCTTTCAATGTTTGCATTATTTGTGAAGCCATAATAAAAATGTCAAAATGAAAGAAACTGATGATAGCAATGAATAATTTAATTTTAAAGCTGCATATTTTATTAATTTCTTAGCAAGTTATAAAAATGTCCAGTACAGAAAACACATTTGGAGTGATTAGTTGCCTCTTTCTCTTCGTTGTACCTCAAGGAATCAGTCGGGGACTTGATGGTAAGAAATATTCAGCTAAACCATTCTGGGAAATACACGTGCACAGTGAAAACAACAATGGACAGCCTCTCCGTAATGGCAGAAACTATTGTAAGGGGTAAGTCAATTAACTGTAAAATTCCAACTAACTGTAACACCCAGAAGTATATGTAATACTTCAACTTCAGAAAAGTTCTTTGCATGAAACGTAAATAAGTCATGTTTTTGCAGCTCAGAGATATTTCTTACTACTACTGTTCCTTCAGAAAAGCTTTGCCCAGTAGGCAACAAAGCAAGCCAGAGGGAACATTCTGCAGACATTCCTCTTCACACTATTTTTCCCCACTCAAAATTTGTCTTTAGCCTGTTAACTGGAATCCATTAGATTACTTTATATATCCTGTATACACAAATAGCAAAAGATGCAGTACAAATGGGACAAAAGTAAGATAGTTGAATACCAATGTGTTCCTCTCGATAGTTACTTCAGTCTAAAGCCATTTATTTCAATGAGGTGAAACTGGAGTGATTCTCAATAGGACACTGCCAGATGTGGTTTTGTATTATTTGTTCTAGAATATGTTAATTTGTTTTTAATTTTTATGCATCTGGGGTTCATTTTTCACAAAGTAAACCTTTCTTGGTATAGAAGCAACACATTTTGATAGACTGCAGTATGAGAATGCAGAGGAATTAAGAACTGTTTTTCTTTTTCTATTGTGTAAAGAGATTGTGGAGCATGGTTAAGATTAGTGATGCTAATCTCATCTGGGTTTCTCATCTGGGTTACCGAGATGTGGTAACTATTTCTAATAAATTTTACCTGTGTGTTACAATTCAGGGTAGCTTTATATATTTGGCTCCCTCAAAGTAGAGATTAAAATATTGGGTACAAGGTAAATAAGAGGGGGGAAACCTGAAGTGGTAGCAGGATATCTACCCCTTTTTTATGAGATACCACAGTGAGAACAAAATCTATCTGTAATCATTTCTAGTAGCCATCTTGATGTAAAGAGATTGAAACATGGATTCATGTTTCAATTAAAAATAGTAATCTGAGAGGGGAATTTGTATTTTATCCACCTATTTCACAAGGGAACAAGCTACCAGGCTAGACAGGGGAGTTGCTTCTTGGGGAGTGAGGGGAATGTTTTGCTTTCACGCCGATTGTACTATGACGGAAAAGCAATGGATATGATTTGGCACTATTCACATAGAAGATTTAGATTTCAGCATGAAGTTGATAATATCAATTGATTGGAAGTTCCCATTCCATGCTGAAATTAAATTCTGCACATGGGAATTGACAATTCCTACAACCATAGACTGGAATTGACGGGGGTACAGTGTTTCAATATGGTTTTCATGAATTGTAGAAGCTTACACTTTACTTACACTTTATTTCAAATGCAATATTGATGGAGAAAACTGAGACAGAGAATGATTTGTGATTTAGGAATGAATGGGATTTGTTGTTGGAAGAAGAAGAGAAAGAGATTGGATTTATACCCCGCCCTTTACTACCCAAAGGAGTCTCAGTGCGGCTTACAAACACCTTTCCCTTCCCCTCCCCACAACAGACGCCCTGTGAGATGGGTGGGGCTGAGAGAGCTCTGACAGAAACTGCTCTTTTTCAAGAACAGCTCTGACAAAACTATGGCTTGCCCAAGGTCATCCAGCAGGTGCAAGTTGGAGAAGGAAGACCCCTCCCCTTAGATGGTTGCCAAGGAAGTGGGCAGAGACATTATTTTTGTTTATTTCATACTGTAGTCCTCTGAGAAAAAAATAGAGAGGTAAGATACTTTAAAGCAGGAGGCTGGATGATTCACTGGGATGCTTCAATTTTGATTTCTAAAACTACTCTCAATAAATCTAGTGAGTGAATGAACAATGAGACCCAAAGAACAACTATTTCAAACACTTTAGCTAAAATAATATGGCTTTTTTTCCTTTTAATAAGGCACTCCAGGTCCACCCAAAGATGTTAGTATTGAACATATTTCTAGCACAAATGCAGTGCTAAATTGGAGACCAGGAAAAGATAATAACAGTCCCATCCAGACATACACTATTCAGGCAAGGACTCCTTTTTCTGTTGGATGGCAGGGAGTTTCAACAGGTAAATGCTTACATTCCCAACTTCCCTTTTTGTATACGAGATATTTTAAATCTGTTTTTTCTAGATATATAAACATTTCTGTTTTAATCTTAGTTCCTGAAGTCATTAATGGAAGGACCCACACAGCAACAGTGGTAGATCTCAGTCCTTGGGTTGAATATGAATTTCGAGTTGTGGCTGGCAATAGCGTAGGGATTGGGGAGCCAAGCACACCATCTGAACTACTCAAAACAAAAGCTTCCAGTAAGTTTACAGGAATGGGGCTGATGGGGTTAGAAGCCCTGTAAGTATAAGTGTGAAAATTGTTTGAAACCTTCACATTTCTGATGGGAAATAGAGACTTTAAGCCCATGATTTGTTTATTTTCATCTATTCATTATATTTTTACAAGGTGGTGTCTGTTAAGAAGCCTGATGTGGAATGGAAATGGTAAAGTGTCTATGGAAATACCCCCCTCCCTTAGTGTTATAGTACAATACTACTAAACTCAGAGGAAGATTAATAGTTTACCTAATCCCAAAACTGAGTAAATTAGAAAAATGGCATAAGGTGTGTATTTGCATTCCTACACTCCAGAAATATCCCCAAAGCAGTTTACAGATGACAATAAAATGCAATTCCATTACAGGTATTTCCACACTGTCCAACAACTAGTACTGCTTTGGGCTGGCCAGTCCCATCCAAAACCTCATTTTCTTCAGACAGTTGTGGTTATCCCCATTCCCCATCACCCAATCTCATTACACTGGCTGAGATCAATTGGATGGTTAGTTGTCCAACTGTGTGCTCCTATCTTAATACAACAATAAATACCTCTTAACAACTCTTTAAAAAGAATATATTTTTGACACAAACATGGTTGGTATTGAATGGAAGAATTCTCTTCTTACTGTGTTGCATTTCTGCAGAATGAAAAAAAATCAAAAATGAAATAAGAGTTTTAAATCAATCGTTTAAATTATTATGTTTTTCCATTTCAAAGTTGTTGTTTTTGAAGAATTTATTATTTCAATATTTTATGGGAGTACTGATGTTTCCCTATTGGAGAAATAATAATAAATTGACACAGAAGTGGTTAATTTTGAAGGGATTTGTATCTGATGTTATTGTGGAGTTCCATAGAACTGGTGTAGTGCAGAAGAAAAAAATGGCATGACAGTAAACTTCTGCAGAAGCTACAAGAATGGGGGCCATTTTCATTTTTCTTTTTTTTGCTTTTTATTTCCAGTATTCTGGAAACACAACTTGGCCAAATTTTGACTTTATAGGTCCACACTGACAAAAATTTTAGTGTAGAATCTTTCGATGGAGAGAAATTTAATGGAGGAATGTTATAAAAGCAGCCTTACTTCCATGTTGGAAGTCCAGCTGGGCAAAACTGAAAGATGTCTGGGTATAGTTTCACTCCCCTTTTAAAAAGTGTTGTTCTTTCATCATAACTTTAGTGAAACTGTTTAAACTGCCTTTGGGTATTTCCTCTAAGATCTTATGATGCGATGGACTGCAGCCTTCGCACACCATCCTTCTTCTCTGACTCATTATTTCCAATAGCAGAAAACCAAGTAACACAGTTTAAATGCAGAGGTGGGTAAAAGGTAGATAACAGATCACCTGATGCTTGCTGGATGCTGGGATTCTTGCAAAGGATGATAGACTTTGGTCCGATTCATGCATACTTAAGCAAATGTGTATATTCAAAATAGATTATGGTTATGCCTTAACTGTTACAAGATCTTGCACTGTAAATTTAAAATACATTAAGGGACCATTGCGATTCTAGAAAAAAATAGACCACACAAGACAACCCCTTTTTAATAAATGCAAGAACTGTAGAGGTAACTATCAAGAAAGCCACTGCAAGTCAAATGATTAGGCAATGAATTGTTACATATTCCATCCTTCTCCAAGTGGTACGAAGTTCCATGAGCAAAATTTACCTCTGTCAGTTCCTTTTGGAGGAGAAATTCCTGGAGATTTATGGCCTTTTTGTAGTATTTGTTTTATTTATTCATATGCAAGCCAAGATAAGAGGTGTAGGCAAAGAGGCCCTCTAACAGAATAGCAGATCTGCTTCCTAGCTTCAGATCCCCAAAGACGGAGATCCTTCACTGTTAACATGCTTCAGCCAGCTCGTAGCAATATCTAATAGCTTTTCTCTCAGTCTCTTCCAGAATCCAGACAGCTTTTTTCCCCCCATGGAGACATATATCTTCGTCTTCTTCATCTGGGGGGAGGCTACCTCCTACAAGCCCTGATCAGTTGCTAGACAAAGCCATTTCCTAATATTTAAGGCCCACCTAATATTTAAGACCCACATCTAGGGCCATTAGGGAACCTCATCATGACTTTTGCCATAGGCTCTGGCTCCCCGCCCCCCCAGCATACCATCTTATACCCTGGCTGTTAGAGAGACTGATCCACAGTAACCAGGTTCCAAATTCACAATGGTACAGGAACAATCATGGGCTCTTTTTGTAGCAGGAACTCATTTGCATATTAAGTGACACACCCCTAATGCAGCCAATCCTCCAAGAGCTTACAGTAGCCCCTGTAAGAAGAGCTCTGTAAGCTCATGGAGGATTGGCTACATTAGGGGTGTGTGGTCTAATATGTAAAGGAGTTCCTGCTACAATGGCTAGTTCCCCCTCCCCCAATTATGCTACAGAGAGTATTATATACACTGCAGACTTATAGAAATCAAGGATTTGTCAAACTTTCTGTAAGTGGTGACTTTTATGATACAGTCTTTTGAGGGTAGGATAGTAGGAAGCTCTGGAGATACAGAAATAGAACAGAGGTACTAATGCCATGTTCCAATTCAAAATATTGATCCAAAGAGCCCTGCATATTTGAATACACTCTACCCACTTACCTGCTTTATAACATTTGTTCCATAGATGACAGGGGAACATTTCTTCAGTGCAACTGGCTGCTATGCTTCTAGATTGCTAATTAAAATCAGCCTCAGTGTAACAGGTGTGGTGAATAAGGAGCAATGAAAGGGTGAAGAAGAAAGTCTGTCTTGCAATGTCTACATTGCCAGCTAAAACTTGATCAAGCATTGGTACATTCCTGGAGGCAAATGAGCTATTGCTTAGTTCATTAAAATGAAGTTGAGAATTAATTGAGCTTCTGTCAATGCGCTCAACCATAAATTTTCATCTGTTTCTCAACTGTGACACAGTTGAGGCTTTGTTTAGTAGTATAAGTTTCTTTCCAATGCAAATACAGTAAATACAGGACTCATTGAACACAAGCGCTAATTGAGCATTAACTGGTTCATGGAACAGTAGAATGCTAGTTGAGCTTCGCTTGAAAGTCTTCTTTTAATTCTTCATTTAGTTTACTGCCTCAGTCACCATTCCTTCTTCAGCATTCAGAGATATAATACAATTGGCTCAAAGTGAATTGTCCAAACAATAACTGACAAATGATGTTATTTTGCCATATAGCAAACAATGTTTCACATTTTCAGTACACCTTCAAAAGAAGAGCTCTGCATTGTTTAATATGGAAAAACCTGTGTCTTGGTTGATCACAAAGCTAGTCAGGAGGGCAATCTACACCCTGTGCAATGTAATTCTAAGCAGTTAGACCCTTGTAAGTCCATTGAAACTAGAACTCCCATGCCTTTCCTTGCAGAGATCAACTTTTGCTCAAGAGTTGCTAGGATGACATGGACAGTCTAGTTGTGCCAAATCTATCCTGTAGGATCCCCAAATGTTGAGGGAGGAAGATTTCTATCATAATTCTGATCCCTGATTTAGTTTCTCCACCTCAAAATATGTCCCAAGGCTATTTACAATGAATATAGGATGCATCAGGGAAGAGAGGAAGACTGCACTGGAGCAAATCACTCTGGATCTTGAGACCAAAAGCCATGTAACAGTTTTCATGAGTGCCACCAAAAATAGCACAATGCAGTGTGTGGTTTTTTTTTTAGTTCTACCATAATCCTGTACTAGGCTGAATGTTTTTAGGGTGGGGGTGGGTTTTTTGACAAGGTTCAGGTCTTGTTCCTAAGGCCTTGTCTAAGCCCTGCGTAAAGTGCCTGGCAGATTTTGTGGTGCTGGCTGGAGCTCTTATCAAGGCATCTGGGCAGAAGGAGGAAAAAATGCCAGCTGTCAGCTGAACATATAAAACACAGCCATTTGTTAAATGCCTCTTTAGCACCAAATAGAATATCACCTAGCCCAATATTATGTATTCTCTCCTCCCTTTATACTATCATGCAACTGTGAGGATTGAATGGGATTATGAATGCCTCATAATTACACAGAATTGTTTTATTTCCCCCCCACACCCCCATTCTCTATGTTTTTCTAGTTCCTGTAGTGGCTCCAACAAATGTGAGTGGAGGCGGGGGAAGCCGATCTGAACTTGTCATCACATGGGAGGTAATTTGTAAATCAATCTCAATCGTTTATTGTAATGACAGGAAAATACAAGACAGCGCTGGCAAAAGCAAGTTCACCATGCCATTGTTAGCTGTTTAGAGAAGTAAACTGTGAGTGGCATGTTATAAAGATGTTTCGAAGTCATCCACAGCCCTCTTATCATCATTATGCAGGAGGCAGCTTAGCACTCTAATCTGTTTGGGTATTTTCCGCATTAACTATTTTACACAGTTTTGTTTGCATGTCTGTTCCCCCCCTCCCCAGTTTTGGAATATTACGCTAGCGATGCGCATCCTGTCATACATAAAAGGAGACACGGCCTTTCAATATCCAATTCTGTGCAGTGCATGTTTCGAAAGCAAATCATATGCTCAAAGGAAAGGGGTTTTTGTTTGTTTGTTTTGCCTAAAGCTGCAGTCCTAAGCACATTTACTTTTTGGTACATTCTATCAAACCACTGAAATTCCCAGCTAAATGTGGATTCAGAGGCTACTGAAGAAAGTCCACCAGCTGTATGCACAGTCAACTCTGAAACTGCATGGTATGCCTTCTTATCATGTTTGAATGGGAATTTCTATAAACTGTATCTAGAATCTATGCATTTCCCCTGTGCGTATCTGGTAAAATGTTACTAGAAGCACTGCCAGATGAATGCTTTTGTCTGCTCATTGGCCAACAATGTTTCTTTGGCAGTGCCCAGAATAACCCTAAATGTATTTAGGACTAAGGTCTAAAGTCTTCAATGGACTTTAAGTATTTGAAGCGCTGTCTCCAATCTGGGTTATGTTTCAGTACAAAGAAAAAAAACCCTGTCTCTAGTCATAGTTTTATTAGGGCTGAGTTTCAGGAAGATCACAGCCTGCTCAGATCTGATATGCAGAAATTTTGGGTTCATCATCATGGATTTTGTGCAGTCCCACATGGGGACTGCATGATTGCAGGCAAGTCATGGAGAAGAGCTTCCAAGCTTAAAAGAACATTCCAGATCCTAGGAGTGCTTCCCTTCCCCCTTCCCATCCAAAGTGTCATGTGATGGAGGTGGGGAGAGCACTCCTCCCTCAGTTCTGTTTATGCTCCCATTAGGAGAGAACAAGCTTCTCCGAGCTTCTTTCTTCAAGAGTGTTTCTTCAAGTTTTTCAGGAAGTTTTTTTTGCTAGAAAAGTGATCTACACATATGGGTAGGATAGCCCTATTTTAAAAAATGTCAAGAATGTGGATCCAAGATAGCCCTAAATGACAAGCACAAATCTTATTTCTTATATTTGGGTAAGAGCCACAACACAACCTCTTGTCTGGTTTGCCATCATCGTACCCGAAAAGCTTGAAAAGGCATTAAGGTGGCGTTATGGGAAAAGGCTTTGGGTGCCTCAGACCCCTGTGGGAAGAAACAGCCCCATTCAGACAAAAAGCTGAGTGCTTTATCAGTGGCCTTTGTACTGATACCATCAGCAGTGGAAACACAAGAACAATCTTCTGCAGCTAGATCGGCATTGGAGACACCACCAGAAAAAAATCTAAGAAAAAGCCCAAGCATAGCCTGCGAAGCTATCCTTGTCACCATTCCTCCTTGCCTCAGCACCAACAGATGTCACCTCGAGGTCTAACTCCTTGAAGTTGAGGTTCATTATCTCCTCAAGATTGGCAGGAATCACTAAGTTGACATTGGCCAGAAGATTTGCCTCTAAGTCAATTTTTGACACCAACAGATCATTGGTTAAAGTCACCCCAACACCATCTATCACCCAGCCATATCGAAGTCAGATTATCACTACTTCAAGGATGCCTTCACCATTGGGAAGTGTTACTTGATCCCCAGGGTCTTTGGAAGATGAAGTATTTGAGGGGCCATCAACTAATATGGGCTCTGAACAACACAGCAATCAGCAGGTGACCCAACCCCCACCTTTTCAATGGTCACCATAGCACTTGGTTCCACTTTCCTATGATGCTACCAACCCCAATGGGGACCATGGGACCCTCACTAATGTGCATGCCCTTGGCAACCACCAAAACCCAGTACCAAGACCAAGGGGAAGTACCTCTCAAAGCGTCTTCTCATCTGTGCTCTGATTCTGAAGAAGGGATGGACCAAGCCTTACAAGTGGATTCTGAAGACACTATGATGCCTTCCTTTGATGAAGCAGTCAGAGATCCAATGACCCCTTCCCCCACAGAGGACCTAAAATTATACTCCAAGCAGCTTGGGTGAATGGCAAAGACACTGGAGTTGGAATGTCTTTCTTCAGAGCCACAGCCTACAGACCCAATAATGAAAGTTCTATATAGCCCAGATTCTGGTCCAGCAGCCCTGCTCATGCTCAAAACACTCAAGGCATTGCTATAAAGATGTGGTCTAAGCCTGCCTCTACTCCAGCTTCAGCAAAAACAAAAACAAAAAAACTCCACAACCTCAAAAACCTGTACAAGATCAGTGAGAATGGATGTGACTATCTTTTCCATCACCCACAAGTGAACTCTCTAGTATTCCTGCCAGCAAGAGGATTTTTGGCTCCCATTTTTCATTGCTCAATAAAGATGATTGCAGATTGGACTATCTGGGCCTCATGGTCTACTCCTTTGGGGTGATGGGCCTAAGGGTGGCAAAATTTACTACAATTATGGGCTGCTACCAAATATTGTTGTAGGATCACATAGGATTGTTGCCTGATTATAAGAAAGCAGTAGCAAAGGTATATCTCTCTGTGGAACAAAAAATAGGCAAAAAATAGGTCAATGCAACCAGGCATGTGGCCGACTGCAACAGCAGGGCTGTGGCCTCTGGCATAGCCATAAGAAGGCACTCATGGCTGTGGTCATCAGCCCTCCCTAAGGATACCAGAGTGAAAATAGAAGACCTTCCATTTGAAGGTTGGGAGCTCTTTAGCAATCAGACCAACATGATCTTGGATCATATCTGGAAAAAATAAAATAATAGCAAAATCTCTGGAGATCACACCTAATCCTGTTCCACCTTACAAACAAAGGTATTTTCCCAGGCATTTGCAGAGGTACCAACAATCAAGACCTATCACTACTCAAATTACCGATATCAGACCCCTATTCCCCCACATTAGTCTTACAGACCTGCCTACAATCAGCCAGTTTGGTGTAGTGGTTAGAAGCATGGACTCTAATCTGGGAGAACTGGGTTTGAGTCCCGACCTCCACATGCAGCTGCTGGTGAGGCCTTGGGTCAGTCATGGCTCTCTCAGAGCTGTTCTGTCAAGAGCAGTTTCTCTCAGCCCCACCTACCCTTGTGGGGAGGGGAAGGGAAAGGAGAGCTTAAGCCTCTCTGAGACTCCTTCAGGTAGTGAGGGGCAGGGTATAAATCCAATCTCCTCCTCCTCCTCCTCCTCTTCTATCATAGAGTGAAAGGCAGAGCAAGCAACATGGAAAACAACTATCCTAGTCACCCAGGGAGCAGCAATCTAAGGGGGGGGGGAACAATGTCTGACTAGAGCAAGAAAAGTTGTTTCTAGCCCAGTAGTCCAAGTTCACAGAAGCATGGTTCCAAGTTACAAACAATTGTGGGTGTTATCTATAATAAAGAGGGGTTATTTCTTGGAGTTTGAATCTCATCCCCCTCATGATATTTACCCCCAACACCTCTGTTTTCTTGTCACAGGAGGTTTCTTCCTTCCTGATGAAGGGGGCCATCATGAGGTTACCCCTTAATTTTGAGGGGGTAGGGTACTGTGGAAGTATTTTGTGATTGACAAAAAAGGGGGAGGAAAAAGACCCATTCTGGATCTAAGGGCCCTAAACAAACAGTTAACATGTTTCAAAATTCAGGAAGTTGTTCCTACATGAAGTGCTATCCTTGTTGGGCAAGGACCTGTGATTTGCAGTTCTTGACCTGAAGGATGCATATTTTCACATTACATTCTATGAGTCCAGCAGGAAATTCCTTAGGTTCAAGTATGATGGAGCAGCATATGAATATATGGTGTTACCCTTCAGTTTAGCCATGGCACTGAGGTTGCTCATGAAGTGTATTGTGGTGCTCATCTCTCACTTAAGACTGATATTGGGATTCAGGAATATTGGTATATATTTTTCATGCTTCGTTTACCCAAACCCCCAAAATACCATTTTTTTGTGTGTGCTACTACTACTAGGCATATGACCTCAAGGGGTCTAACTAAAATGAACTGACAGAGTGATCTGCAGCATTGTCCTGCCAGCTCTAGCAGGTGTAAATCATGACACTAATTAAATGGAATGCAGCTAATTGGCTGCCAGGGCACCATAACTCTATCCTTGGGAACAAAGAGGGAGGCAGAGATAAACACTACTTCACTCCTTGCACCTGGGCTGTTATCTTGTATCATGAGGTCAGCTTATTGAATCTTCACATTGTTTTCCATTTGGACTTTCTTTCAGGCCTACTGATCAGAATGAAGTCTGAACTAATGTTAAGCACAAAATGAGAAATTGCACTGGGAACTCAGTTTCTTGACAAAAACATGCCTGTAAAACCAAACAGCTACTTTATTGTGACAATCTAATGGTTACCTTATTCCTGTTTCCTGTTCACTTGCCAAGTTCCAAGCCTGATACCTACCTGACCATTCCCCATCATCATCCTGTTGCGTGCCTTTATCAGACATTCATAAATGAAGTTTGTTTGTTTGTTTTTAGTTCCTCTGTTCCCTGTGCTGGGTCAGCTTATATCTATATGCATTTAAACAACTGGGTGGGACAGACAGAAACAAAGAAGAGTAAAGAAAAAAAAGAAGTGGGAAAATCATTATAGTTGCATTATACTTAGTCAGCTCATTGCCCCCTTTAACTCAATGTTGTCTAATCTGACTCGCAGTGGCTCCCTGGGATATTAGATATAGAAAGGTGTTTCCCAACACAAATTACCTGAGAGGTTGTTAAGTGGAGAAGTTTAGAATCCTTTCCTGCAAAGTATGTAAAATGGTATAAATGAACTTCCAGTTGATCTTTTTTTCTACCTGCCCACAGTTGAGGGTTTTTGTCCCCCCTGAAAATACAGCCACCACATAAATCCAATGTTTCATTTTAGCTATGTTGAATTTACAGCATAGCTATTAAAGCTGCATTTTACCCAACTTTCTGAGAGAAATGTTTTTGTGTCAGCATGTGAGAAGGAACATATGCAATGCACCAGTCCTTTATTCCCATTGACTTTACAGCAGGCAGTTGATCTCTGAACACCTCTACAGTAGGAGACTAGGAACAAAAAGGAAATCATATTTCATTAGGAGGAGAAAGGATAAGAGCTTGGGCAGAAAGAAGACTTTATTGTTTCACAAAGGTTTCCTGAAGTACTAAAAATCCTCTCTGTTCTTCACTTTTTGTGTTTTTTTCACCTGAATGAATATGAAATGCCAAAAAAGTATAACATTTGGGTTTTTTTAAACCTATCTTCCCACAATACACTGCATTCTGCATCTTATCACAACTCTGCATTCTAGTAGGAAGGAAAAGAAACCCAGACTGCATCCCAATGGTAAATAAAAGTGCCTGGAATTGATGGAGCTTTGTAACTAATGTTAAACCAGAAAACAAAGCAGAGCCCCGTAACTCTGATCTACTGTGACTGATCTGACTTAACAGCCAGATGAAGTCTAAAATTACAGGAAAATCAGAAATATAAACTATGATTTGAGTGTACATCTTACTTGCCCGATGTCCCAGTTCTAGGGGCAGGGCTAACAAGGTTACTTATGACATTTGTGATCTCTGTTTTACTTATAAATGTACAAATAGAATATAGATGGAAGCATTCAGTAGGTAATTTTACATCAAATTGTAGTTTCTTCAAACACATCTACATCTGCCACTTCCCTCATCTGAGGTCACCTTCTCCAACAGGCATTTCATACAAGAAGTATTAAGAGAACATCTAACAATTTGTTCCCTAGGAGAAAAATCTTTTAAGGAACTTTAGCTTGAGGTAGAGAAGGAAGAGTCAGAAATCAATCAATGGCCACAGCTTTATGAAAAGAAGAGGGTTAAAGTTGTCTGGTTAGGCTAATGTTGAATAGGTTGCTCATGAAGACTGGCATGGTGCCCATGATGGCATGGCCAGGCCAGCTGAAAAATTCTTCTAGCACTGTGCATCTTACTCTTGAACTCTACCTGGTAAATTACAATCTATTCCTCTTGCTGGGTGTGATATAGATTTGCCTTCTGAGTTACCTACAACTCTGTTGATTGCACCATACCCTAACTTCTATAGACAGCAGCCCAGTTACAAGATGCCTCATCTTATCTGAGAGAGTCTTTCCAGACACCTTCCCATTTTGTCCCCTAAGTCCTCCACCAAAATAGCAATTCACATTTACTAAATTCAGCCAATACACAAAAACTTCCTTGAGTCCAAGGAAGACCAAAAAACCCACCAGTTTCAACTGACATGTAAAAGAAAATCCTTCTCAGCAGCCACAAAGGATGACCAGCTGGAGAATCCAGGCTGTTCACAAAACTCAGTGAGTGGGTTGGTTGTACTGCTTGGCTGCTCCCTACTGCCGATTGGGCTGGGTGGGGAAAACCTTATATAGATGAGGTTTTCGCCTGAATGCCCATGAGATTCTGGACAAAGGCACTTATCTTCAGGCCCAAATACTTGTAGCTGGAAGGCATCTTTTGCCTTCTCAGCCTTATTTCCTCCAGAGCAATCTCCATTCTTTTGCTGCTGAGGCCTGAGGAGGGATTATTTTGTCACCGGTCCTGACACTCCATCAGATGCCAGTGTAGGCAAACCCATCATGATCAACCTGTTCATGGTAATCAAACCAAAAATCCACAGCTATATACAAATCCTCTTCCATTTCTCAGAGCTAACTTCCATCTCTCAGAGCTAACTTGAGCAAGTAACCAAAAGTGAAATCATGCTATTCACCTTCCAGTTTAGGAAGCATAACAAATGACAAATTCAATATTAGCACTGTGTACCTTTTCCCTACTAAAACTTATCCTTAGAAAGCCTTTGACTTCCCCTAGCACATTCATCTGTTTCCTCGGCACTGTGACACAGGTATTTTGGGTGATTTGTCAGAATCCAATCTGAGTGTTTTCTTACACAGTTTTATGTATGCCATGCATGTATCTTGCCATTTACATTTTCTATACTAGGCCTAAAAAAACCCTCAGCGTCTCATTTGCTCATGGGTTCTACTGCTTCCTCCACCGTTGGTGGTGTTATTCTATTTTTAAATGACTGATCTCTTTAAGGTGCTCAATGGCCTGGTGTGATCTTTTGCTAAGCAGTGTGCACTTCTATCATGTCACCTTTTATAATGAGAGCTAAAATATTCCATCACTGCTCCTTTCTCCTTGAAATAATCAACCTGGGTTTTTTTTCCCCCCCATCTCAAGAAAAACACACGCTGATTAAAATGTTTTCTCAGCATATTCACCATTACAGATTTTGACAGCATATTTTATTAATAGACATATTAATTTTGTCATAAACACTGGTTGACGCTCACTAGGGTTAAATTACTAAAAGTATATTTTCAGACCCGAGGGACTTGCACTACAGCATTTAAATTAGAGTTGTAGGCTCTATAAGTATGCAATCATGCAATTGGTATGTACTTACATACTGAAATTGCTTCCTTTCCTTGTCATTCATCCAAAATTAGCAGTCCAAGCCCTGTAAAGTGTCTTATACAAGTGTATGTGTAGGGTGGGGAGAAGTGGGGAGATAATTAAACTCAAACGTAAATCATAATGAAATGCTTCTAATTTAAAAAAAAAAAATGCTGCACATGCCTTTAATGTTGCTGATCAGGTCTTGAGTTTTTAAATTGATTGCCCTAATAGATTTATTTTCTTTATGGTCATTTTCAATATTACACTGACGGATGGGACCAACATTATTATCTTCTTGGAAGCACAGTCAACCAAATCAATACAACTAAAATATACTGATAGGGTAAAGATTCAATTAAAACAGTATATATAGTGCTTGCAAGTGCCTATTGATTGATTATTATGCTTCTTGCAGCCAGTTCCTGAGGAACTACAAAATGGGGAAGGCTTTGGATACATCATCATGTTCCGCCCACTTGGCTCAACAAGCTGGACAAAAGCAGTGGTGAATTCTGTGGAAGCATCCAAGTATGTCTATAGAAATGAAAGCATCACCCCGTTGTTCCCTTTTGAAGTGAAAGTGGGTGTCTTCAACAACGAAGGAGTAGGCACTCTGAGCTCAGTATATATTGTGTACTCTGGAGAAGATGGTAAGTGAAATGATCCATTTCTTGCACTGCATAGTACCAATTAAGAACTATATCATGTAAGGTTTGGCATGCAATCCTAAGCACTGACACTGATATATTTACATACTATGTTACCTACAGGGCATTTTTTGGTAGAAAAAGCCCAGCAGGAACTCATTAGTATAACAGGCCACACCCAACAGCAGAAACACATTAGCATATTAGGCCACACACCCCGACAGCACAGCTCATTAGCATATTAGGCCACACCACATGCCTTCCCTTGGAAGGATCTGTCCTGCGAGGAGCCCGGGCAAGCCAGCCCTTGGACAGATCCTTCCAGGGGCCCCCCTGCCTTGGAGTTGTGGGGGCAGGTGTCGCTCTCCAGGCCTTCCCTCTGTAGCCACGCACACAGAGGATATGGCTGTAGTGGGTGTGGCCAACTCTGAAGCCATCCGGAACTCCGTTCCTGTGTGTTCCTGCCCAAAAATAGCCCTGGTTAACTAGATGTTGATCTGTGGTAGCTCATGTTTTAAACATTTATTTTCTCCTTCAGAACATGTTTGGATTGGGACATAAATCCCATCTTATTTCTGTGGATTTATGATCCTATAAACAGTCTCAATAGCTCTGTGATTCTTGTAATGTTGGTAAAAACACAAAGAAAGAAGAGAATTTTTTTACAAACCTGAGGTGTCCCCCCCAAATTTGCAGGGAAATCTATTTAGTGTCAGTGTACCCCCAATCTGTGGATTTAGATATCTGTAGATGGGGGTCAGACTTCGCGATTAGATATATAGATAATGATATGATATGATACAATATGATATGATATGACAGAAGGCACAAAAAAGCTTGGTTCTTTCACTAGAAGGATAGTGTGGTTGCTTTTCTTTCAAGGCTCCACTCCATAATGCTCCAATAATGTTAGATCAGGGGACATCATGTGAAAGTAGCCAATGACATGGTTTCTTCCCACATCAGCATCACCACTTCCCCATTCTAGTCTTCACTTGTTTTTCCAATGTTATTTACACATTTTTGTGACATAGTGAACAACCAGAAGCCACACTTAGAAGTATCATTTTAGATCTTGTATGTATTAACTGTTTCATTTGCATATCTTATATTCTTAATTATATTAGTTTTTAATTCACATTGTCAACTAAAATATATGATTATCAGATTTATAGTGTTTTTCTTGTCATCTAGAGCCTCAGATAGCACCTACTGGAATTTCTGTACAAAGCTTCTCATCTTCTGAAATGGAAGTATCTTGGAATCCTATTGCATGGAACCGACATACTGGAAGAGTTCTTGGCTATGAGGTGCTACATTTCATACCCTATTAGACACTTGCAATCAGATTTGACTGACTCATTCAAATATTAGTTATCACTCCCTAGTCTTCCTGCATCGGACTACCCTGTGGAGGGTGAGCCGACGCGGGAACGACTTCCGACACCGGGAAACGTGGTTGGTCGGATAGGGCGAGAGTCTGCAGAAGGTACGAGTCCGGTTTCCCATCGAAAAGCTCCATGTTATATCCTTTCTTCCTCAGCTTCATCCAGGCATGCCATCGCAACGGGTCCATGCCCTGTGGCGGGCCCGTGCTTCCCTGCTCCACTCCAGGCGCGGTGTGATACACCGGGGGCGCCGTTGGCGGTGGAGGCGGGGGTGGGGGCGGCGGCAATGCCAGATGCTGCTGTTGGTGATGGACGGGAGGGGGTTGCGGCGGAGGCTGCGCGTGAAGCATAGGCTGCGATTGATGGTAGGAGGGAGGTGGCAAAGGAGGTGGAGCATAGGCGGGCGCTTGCGAGGTGGGGTTATCCGCACTGGATTGCGTTTTCCCTGGTCCCTGGCCGGCCTGTCCCTTCCCCTTTCCAAAGGTGCGTCCTTTGGGTTTCCTTCCAGCTTGATTGTATTGGGCCGCCTTCCCCGTGGAATGGTCATGGGAGGCGTTGGCCGAAGACTGAGCGCCGTGATTAGCGTATGTCACCTCCAGAATGGAGGGATCTTCGTCCTTTATTTGCTTCCTATGACTCTTGGGGGGCTTTAGCGCACCAGCACCTCTCATGGCGATAGATACTCTCCTAATACGGTTCCGTAACTCTGCCCATGTACCTCTCTGTGGATCGTCCAGCTGAAGATACTGTTTGGCCTGTTGGTTAAGTCCTTTCACTAGCGCTTCTCTGAAGGCGGGCACATTGTAGTTAACGGGGGCAACGGCGCCGTTCACTATCCCAGATACCCTCGCTAGCAGTTGTTTCCTAGCCAAATAGACCTCCGGATCGTCATAGGGACCTTGCTTTTCATTGTGAAAGATTTCGGTCAGACAATACTCTGGATTCAGATAGGTGATCACCTGCGTGATCCATGCCTCTCCTGTGGCTCGAACCAAGTTCCCGGAAGATATTGCTGAATTAATGTCAGCAAGGGCAGTTCCAGTGGCACACTTACGAGCCAACATGGTGAGATCCTCACCTTCCAAACCCGCATAAGAGGTGGTAGCAGTGGTGGCCCACTGCACAAAGTTCTTCTCGGTCAACGGACCGAGCTCTTCAGCAACGGCTTTGCACTCCTCCTGTCGCCAAGGGCGATTCTCCACGACAGTTTTCGTGCGTGGCCTGTTGTTGTTTATGGTCACCGTTTGATTAGTGACGCTCACCGGATTGACCGGAATGGGCTCCGTTGAGTCCGAGTCGTCCTCACACCACCCTCCCCAGGCTCCACCCCCCAAATTTTCCAACCCAGAGGTGTTGACTCTATTGAATTACAGGTATTTCCCATCCCAACCTAGAGATGGTAACCCTATCAAATTACAGAGGTAGACAAGCTTTTAAATGTTAATCAGCTTATCTGTGTTTTCCCTTTGGATATCTATAAAAGCAAAGGATTCATCATTTTTTTTTTACTAGTTTGTATTCAGAATACAACAAAAACTATAAATATTCATGCCTACTTTTAAATCCTGACAACTCCAATTAGAAATCAGCCATCGCTCTTGAAGCCTTCGTTGTCAGCTTGTCTGCTTCCCAATCAAGACTCTAATTGGAAGAAAGCAATGAACTGCCTTTGCTCTTTGCCTTAGGTCTTATACTGGATGGATGATGCCAAGGATTCTACAACTGGCAAAGTCAGAGTCAATGGCAACATAACATCAAAAAATATCACCGGCCTCAGGGCCAATACAATATATTTTGCCACAGTGAGGGCTTACAACACAGCTGGGACTGGACCATCCAGTATGCTGGTCAATGTCACTACAAAAAAATCACGTGAGTATTTTTTTTAAAAAAAAATTGACCAAAAAGCACAGGTGCACCAGACTCCCAGCAAGCTACAACAGCTGTTTGTCTAATTATGCACCAGACATCGTCTTATGTGCTGCTCTTCTCTGCTATTATATGTTTCTCCTGCTATTTGCGTAGATCTAAGGATAAAATGAGAACTCATCTCCTGCACTGTATATAATCAATCTGGAGATGATTTTTGTTTCAGTTACAAAAAGTACAGTACAGGAGGTAAATCTGTGGATAGCTACTTTTATCCCTTTCATATGCTGCTTACTTACACATAGTATGCTGCCATGGTTTCTGATATTTATAAAACAAGCAATGGCACTGGATGATGAGCTGTGATTACTGTCACAATTGCCACTTCTTTGTATGTGGCACCTGTGTAGTGCCTGGGCAAAGGAAAATGTGTGTTTTCAGATGACAGCTCAAAGTTGCTAAGCAAACCACTCCCCTCCCCCCTCCATATGCCGACAGGCACCCGCCTCTGTCAGAAAACCTTACATCACCCACCTCCTAGAAGTAAACCATACCAAAAAAAAATTCCAAAGACCAGATGAGTGTTTATCATGATTGTGGATCCAGTCTTTAAGCCTCTGTACTATTAAGGTGGTACCTTCATCTTCTGACAGTGTAGGTAACCATGCACAGGCAAGGCCCAGGAACTCTTGGACTGGATGAAGGCCCAGTCCATCTGCCATGCTGGTTCCACTATGTCTACTTGGAATAGAGTCGATAGCTTTCATCCTGAAACAGAGTGCCTCAGGCTTGCAGATCCTTACCAGATAGTCGCATGTAGTTCCACCAGCAGCAGAGGTCTGGTAGCTGCAATTCCAAGAAAGTCAAGTTTCCAAGGACAGAGAGGACTGGGGCACAGGTGCAGCACCCCGAATACACTAGGTATTGCATGACAGAACTGTGTCTTAGAAGAGGAATGGTAGAAGTGGTCGGATAGGATCTAAATAGTGCAGCTTTCCTTGAGAAATGCATAGTAAAAGATGCACAAAATGAAAGTTTAGATTTATTTGACATAAGAATGTAAGAACATAAGAGAAACCATGGTGGATCAGACCCATGGCCCATCAAGTCCAACACTCTGTGTCACACAGTGGCCAAAATCCAGGTGCCATCAGGAGATCCACCGGCAGGGTCAGAACTCCAGAAGCCCTCCTACTGTTGCCCCCCAAGCACCAAAAATACAGAGCATCACTGCCCCAGACATAGTGTTCCATATATACGTTGTGGCTGATAGCCACTCAGGGACCTCTGCTCCATATATTTATCCCTTCTTAAAGTTGTCTATGATTGCAGCTGCCACCACTTCCTGCAGCAGTGAATTCCATGAGTTAATTACTCTTTGGGTGAAGAAGTACTTCCTTTTATCTGTTCTAAACTTACTATTCATTAATTTCATTGAGTGCCCATGAATTCTTGTATCATGAGATAGGGAGAAAAGTACTTCTTTCTCCACCTTCTGACACACACAAAACCTTTATTGGCATCAAAAGCACAAAACATCATGGAAATACAGCAAAATACTAAGATGCATCAGTCACTTACACTTGGCTATTCAAGCCTCGTCTTCTGATTGCATAATATAAACATTTTGCAACAGCCTCCATTATTTCACAGTTAGAATTAAACAGAAGAAAGTGAACAATTGAGTCATCAGAATGCCAGCTCTTACCCTCTAGAAATCCAGTAAAAAAACAAGATCAAATATCTCTATAAAGGGGGCAGTGAAGAATGCTGTGTGTAGTGGATTCTATATCTTTTAGATAACAAGGACAAAGTTTGTCTACATATGGTATCTGGTGATACCTCCCTAAAAGCACCTCCGATGGCAGAACATTAAAGCGTGCAAACATGTATGCTCTGTGATGATGTGGGGCTGTTAAACTTAACAGATATTTTGCAGTAGAGCCCATGTCAAAAGTCCCCAGCCTATTTGGGGAGCATCTACTGGCTGCGCGTTCCCTAAATTCTAGCCTTTCGATGTCGAAAAAACTTTGTTTAATAATAGCATAGGCTTGTTTATCTGAAAAGGGGGCTAAATAATCTGGGGATATTCCCATTGTACAGAGTTTCTCTTCTAAGCCACGGAGAGAGATGGGACTCAGTTAACATGTGAGTAATAATACCTTCTCTGTGCCATGCATAATCTTCTAAACCTCTATCATGTTACCCCTCAATCTTCAGTTCTCCAAGTTAAAAAGATCTAACCTCTTTAACCTTTCTTCAAAGGGAAGGTGTTCCATCCCCTTAATTGTTTTAGTTGACCTTTCCTGCACCTTTTCCAAAGCTATAATATCTTTTCTGAGGTACAGTGACCAGAACTGTACACAGTATTCGAGATGAGGACACACCATAGATTTATACAGGGGCATTATGATACTGGCTGATTTGTTTTCAGTGCCCTTCCTAATAGCCCCTAGCATAGCATTTGCCTTTTTATTGCAGTTGCACATTGTCTCGACATCTTCAGTGAGTTATTTACCACAACTCCAAGATATCTCTCCTGATCAGTTACTGCCAGTTCAGACCCCTATATTTATAGTAGGGATTGTTTGCTCCAATGGGCATTACTTTACACTTGCCCACACTGAACCTCATTTGCCACATTGACGCTCACTCACCCAGCCTCAGCAGATCCCTCTGGAGCACCTCACTGTCCTCCCTGGTTCTTACCACTCTGAACAATTTAGTGTCATCCACAAATTTAGCCACTTTTGCTTTAGCAAAATTTAGCTTTAGCAAAATTTAGCAAAATTGCTTACTGCCAACTCCAAATCATTAGTGAACAAGTTCATAAGCACCAGACCTGTGGTACTCCACTACCTAGCATCTTCCACTGTGAAAATTGCCCATTTAACACTCATTCTCCATTTCCTGTTAATTAACCAGTTTTTAATCCACAAGAGGACTTGTCTTCTTATCCCATGACTGCTAAGTTTACTTAGGCACCTTTGATGACAAAGCTTATCAAAAGCTTTCTGGAAATCTAGGTCAACAACATCTACTGGTCACCCTTGTCCACATGTTTGCTTACTCACTCAAAGAACTTTAAAAGGTTATTGAGACAAGACCTTCCCTTACAGAACCCATGCTGATTCTTTCTCAATAGTGTTTGTTAATCAATGTGCCTACTACTTCTGTGTTTAATAACTGATTGACTGGCCTGTAATTTCCTGGATCTTCTTGAACCATTTTTAAAGATATTGGTTACATTAGCAACCTTCCAGTCCCCAGTAATGGAGGCAGATTTTAGTGATAGATTGTATATATATTTTTTGTCAGGAGATCCACAAGTTAATATTTGAGTTCTTCCAGAACTTTTGGATGTATGCCATCTGGGTCTGGTGATTGTCAGTTTATAATTTGTCCATCAGTTGTAGAACCTGCTCTCTCATCACCTCAATCTGACTCAGGTCTTTTGACAGCCGTCCTGAAATCAGTGGTTCTGGAGTGGGCAGGCTCCTCGCATCTTCCACAGTGAAGACATAGGCAAAAAATGCATTCAGCTTCTCTGCCATTTCCTTTTCATCCTTTAGTAATCCTTTCACCCCATCGTCATCCAGGGGCCCCACTGCCTCCCTGGCTGGTTTTCTGCTTCTAATGTATTTGAAGAAATTTTTATTGTTGGTCTTTATGTTTGTTTGTTTTGGTTTTTTTGCAATATGATCCTTGTGATCCTTTTGTGCCTGTATGATCACCAACTTGCATTTTATTTGCCAAAACCTGTACTTTTTTTTGTTCATCTCACTTGGACTAGCCTTCCACCACTTAAAGGAATCCTTCTTACCTTTTATTGCTTCCACTACTTTGTTAACCAAGCAGGCTCTTTTTTATACTTATTTGTACTTTTCCTAACTTGCAGTATACATTTTATCTGAGCTTCCAATTTTGTAGTTTTAAATAGTCTCAAAGTTTCCCAAGGGATTGGACTCTCCTTACCTTTCCTTTCAGTTTCTTCTTCACAAGCCCTCTCATTTGAAAGAAGTTACCCCTTCTAAAATTAAATGTGGTTGTGTTGGTCTTTTTGAACAACTCCCTATTTACTTAAATGCTAAACTGAATAGTATAATGATCACTGTCCCCAACTGGTGCTATCATGTTTACATCTCTCACCAGGTCTTGGGCATTACTTAGGACCAAGTCCAGGTTCAGCTACCCCCAGTAGGTTCTGTGACTATCTGCTCCATGGCACAGTCATTGACAGTATCTATAAACACAGTTCCTTACTTGAACAGATATTGACCCAATCAATATGAGGGTAGTTAAATCACCTATTATGACACAGTTATTTTGCTTTTTTTTTAAATCATTCTCGAACCTTTGATCTGGTTGGTGATAACAAACTCCAAGAGTTAAGCTTCCTTTTGGGCACACTATTTCCACCCATAGCATTTCTGTAAGCAAATCCATTTCTCTTAGATTCTCAGTTTTACTGCACTGTATACTATCTCTGACATACAGAGCCACTTCACCTCCGACCTTTCCCTCCTTACCCTTCTGAAGTGATTTATATCTAGTAATCTCTGTATCCTACTGATTAGCCTCATCCTGTCAAGTTTCTGAAGTGCCCACAGTGTCTATGTTCTCCTCTGATACTAAGCATTCCAGTTCCCCATTTTAGCTCAGTCACTTCTAGCATTTGCATATACACATTTATGATTCAGCAGACACATTAGGCCTGCAAATGTCCTCCTGTGGCCTCTAGACCTTGCAGTCAATAATGTTTGTCATCTTCTCAGTGGCTAGTCCTAACCCATTTCGCACTAGAACAGTAACAGCTACCCCTTCATCTCTTAGAGATGAGCCATCCTGAAGCAGATACATTCCATCTCCTCTCAGCTTTCCCCCAGGATTTAGTTTGAAAACTGATCTGTCGCCCTTTTAATTTTAAGCACTAGTAGCCTGGTTCCTTCTCAGAACAAGAGGAGGCCATCTCTTTCGAACAAGTCTTGCTTGTTCCAAAATGC